GATCCTTCCGCCTCAGCCTTTCCAAGTAGCCGGAATTACAGGCATGAGCTACCATGCCCGGCCTATTTTTTTGATTTATTGTAGAGATGAGGTCTCGCTGCCCAGGCGGGTCTCGAACCCGCGGGCTCAGGCAATCCACTCACCTCAGCCTCCCAAAGGCACGGGATTACAGGCTGAGCCACCGAACCCGACTAGAGATGTTATCTAAGTATTACCTTTAGTTTGCCATAATCAGAAGTGTCTGGACACTGATGGGTAACCACTTTGAACATCTCTTGTAATTGCAGAAGTCAAAAATGGCTTGTGTTCATCTTTTGTTATTGGTATATATTGAATGTTACAATCTTAATACAGTCTTTTCCTTGCTTAAAATGTATATACGGTTTTTTGGCACCCTCTGTATATGTTTTGAATGTAAAAAGCCAGAAGGTTTTTTGTTTTAATTTCTTTTTACCAAAAGCAAGTTGTAATATTAAATAACAAAGTAAATGTCTAGTTATTTATCTATTATCTTAATTTACTTATAAAATGGGAAAATAGTTCAACGTATTTAACAAAAATTGGTTAAAGCACCTGCTCGAATTATGTGTTATACACTGTGCTAATGGATATAAAGATAAATAAGTCTAACTCAGATTGCTAGTCTAGGAAACAAGCATGAAAACAAGAATTTTAATGTGCTATAAATTCTAAAATAAATACAACAAAGTGATGCGAGAGCATAATGAATATGACTCAAATCAGACAGTATAGTATTATGCTAAACAATTAGCATAATACTATAAGAAAGGGATTGGCAGTAGTGAGAAACTGCCAGGGGAAGTGGGGGACACACTTCCTCAATAAGGATAACTGATCTCAAGCCAGGTGAAGCGGGGACCAAAGTGAGGCCCAAACTTGAATATTTTTAAGAATCAGGAAGAGGTAAAATCAGTAAGAGAAACAAATAATTAAAAGGACAATGGTGGTAAGAATTTTAAAATAAGGAAAATGCCAACTGTCAAGAAGATCAAGTAGAATGAGTTTGCTTGTGTTTATATTCACACTCTGCACACAAGCATCTGGGAAGTCATTAGCAACTTTATGGAGAACATTTATGTAGAGATGTGGGAGAAATGAGAGTTCACTGAATAGAAATTGAGGAAGTGAAAACAACTGGTCTAGAGTACTTCTAATCAAGAAAGTTGACGATTATACCTACAAGGTAACAGTACTAGCTTGAGGTAAAGATAAGGCTGAGAAAAAAGGTTATTAAGGTGAGCAAGGGTTTCTTGCTAAATGAGAGATACTAAAAGAAAAAAAAGTATAACAGATGGAATAATAATCGAAAGGCAGGGTCTCCCGAGGAGACTGGGTTATTAAATGAGGTGGAGAGTTCAGGTGAATGTGTGAGCCATAGAGAAGAGGATGGATAGGTATAACCTAGGTTAAGGAGTACTATGATAGAATTGGAGCGAACACACACTGAGAGGGACCATTTTTGACAGATTCTTCTATTATGTAAAGTAGGTTGTAAAGTCAGGCTGGAATAAGTGTGTGAGAAGCAGTTATAGCCTTGAAAAAATGTGGTATTGGGGGAATGGGATTGGCAATTGAGGGAAACTGCCAGGGGAAGGAGGGCCACACCTCATCCACAAGGGTACCTGCATAATGAACATTTGTATACTTAACCTGAATTGTACCTCACATCTTTAAAGTAAAATAAAATTTAAAAAAAGGAAATGGACTGAATAAAAAAAATGTGGTACATATGCATGATGGAATACTACACAGCTGTAAGGAAGGACAAAATTATGAACTTCACAGTAACTTGGATGGGCTTAGAGTCCCATGTGACCTATGACAGAAGTCAATAACAGAGTGCCACATGTTCTCACTCATAAGTGGACCCTAAACAATTAGCATAATACTATAAGAAAGGGATTGGCAGTAGTGGGAAACTGCCAGGGGAAGTGGGGGACACACTTCCTCAATAAGGATACCTGATCTCAAGCCAGGTGAAGCGGGGACCAAAGTGAGGCCCAAACTTTACCTGTACAATGACCATTTGTATACCTAGCCCTGAATTGTACCCCACATCTTTAAAATAAAAATTTTAAAAAGAAAGAAAAAGAAAAATGTGGTATTGTTTTAGAATGGCAGCCATTATGAGTGCAAAACAGTTACCAGAATAGAATGTCTATGTAGCAATTGAGAGTCTAAAAAAGACATATTTCCAAACATTTATATGTGTTTATTTACTGGTCAATAACTAGGCTTCTCATCTCTTTATTACAGCACAACTAACAAACGGCAAGAAAAACAAAATCCAAATTTTACTGCACCTGGTCAAGAATTTCTGTCTAAATCTCATTTTTATGAACACCGGACTTTGGAAAAATCTTCAAGCAATGTATCAGTTTCAGGGCAGCCATTTTTTAAAGTTCCTGGTACAAGAAATGAAAAAATGGCACCCTCAATTACTGCAGGCAAATTGACCAAAGTCTTTGTCCCACCTTTTAAGACTAAATCACATTTTCACAGAGACGAAGAGGGTACTAATTTGGAGGAAAACAAACAAAAACAAGACATAGATAAATATGGCTCAGGTGATAGTGACAATAATATTAATGACAGTGAGATTCATCCATCTAACACAAACAACTCCAATCAAGCAGCAAATGTCATTTTCACAAAGTGTGAAGAAGAACCTTTAGGTATTGTATAACAATTTATGTGACACATCTTTGCCTTTTGTCTAGATATTTATCTTACTAAGGAATGTCCTAAGGGTTTTCCCCTTTTGTGGTGATTAATAATTTCAAAACATGCCTTAATGCTTTAGGTTTTCTATATCCAAAGATTAGGCTTAAATTATTCTAATGTTTTCTTTCACAGATAACTACTTGTGTACTTTCTCGTTGAATAAAGCTGTTAGACTCACAATCTAGGACTGCTTTTGCTGGACTTTTTTTTATTATGCGTAACTTCAAAATATTGAGATTAAAAATAATAAATGTATTTATATTCTTTATACAACTTTACGAGCTGAAACTTTTTTTTTTTTTTTTTGAGTTGGAGTCTCACTCGGTCGCCCAGACTGGAGTGCAGTGGCCGCTCCCGGCCACCGCAGCCTTGACCTGCTGGGCTCCAGTGATCCTTCCGCCTCAGCCTTCCAAGTGGCCGGAATTACAGGCATGCGCTACCACGCCCGGCTGATTTTTTGGTTTATTGTAGAGATGAGGTCTCGCTGCCCAGGCGGGTCTCGAACCCACGGGATCAGGCAATCCATTCATCTCAGCCTCCCAAAGGTGCGGGATTACAGGCTGAGCCACCAAACCCGGCTTGAAACTTTTTTTTATCCTTGAAGATTAAAAAGGGGTAGGGGCTACCATTTTCTCTACATGTCAAGTTAGAGCAAATTGATATATATACTTTTATAAGGCAGGGGTTGTGCTTTTATTATTGTTGTCATCATTATTATTATTATTTTTTGAGTTGGAGTCTCACTCTGTCGCCCAGGCTGGATGGAGTGCAGTGGCACACTCACGGCCACCACAGCATCGATCTGCTGGGCTCAGGTGATCCTTCTACCTCCTCAGCCTGGGTTGTGCTTTTAAAATTTATATTTAATTTTATTTTTGCTAATTATGTATTCTTTAACAGATTTGACTACAAGTCTTCAGACTGCCAGAGATATACAAGATATGCGAATTAAAAAGAAACAAAGGCAACGTGTCTTTCCACTACCAGGCAGTCTGTATCTTGCAAAAACATCCACTCTGCCTAGAATCTCTCTGAAAGCAGCAGTAGGAGGCCAGGTTCCCTCTGCGTGTTCTCATAACCAAGTATGCATTTGTCTACGATACTAATAGCTTTTATAGCAAACTGTAATTTTATTTTATTAACTAATATCTGCAAATTGTTTTGTTTAAAGAATGAACAAATTACTATGAGAATGGATGGATGAAGTCGTCATGCTTCCTAGTTAGCCAGCTGTGGCGGCCTCCCTCTCCCTGCCTTATCCTACCGAAGTGATCTGTGTACTTCAAAGTTGCTATTTCTCTTCCCCCTTCAAATCTTAATTATTTTGTTACTGAAAGCGCTCTCAGCTAGGGGTTAGAGGAAAGCAGTCTCACTGAAATTGAATTGTGAATAACTGACAGTCCTGAACCTTCCACTAACTATTTACATTTTCAACAGAAGATTCTTGTTAAGCCACTACTATCTAGGAGGAAGTTTAGGCTATGGAAAGCCAAAATAATACTGATAGCTTTCTTATATATGGGACATTCTTCTAAGCAATTCACAAGCATTGGTTCTGTCTTGCTTCATTCTCACAATCACCCTGAAAGAAAGGCACCATTATTTTGTTTATCTTTTTGCAAATTAGAGAACGGAAGCATAGAAAGGTTTAAGTTACTGCCTCAGTCACTTAATCAGTAAGTGGAAGAGCCACGATTTCAAAGTAAGGAGTCTGACTCCAGAGTCAAACTCTGAACAAAGGAAAATAAATGTTGGGGTTAAGTGTTATGGGGTGAGAGCAAGTGCTTTAGAAGTAGGCCAGACCTGTGTATAAACCTGACCTCCTTGAGGTCATATTTCCTGAAATACATTGTCCCCTGTTCTTTCGCAGATTTTTGCACTTAAGAGATTTTGTAAAATGCTCAATATTCTTATGTCCACGATACCTTCTTATGGCAGATTTAGGAGGAAGCGTATACATAGGAATAATGAAAAGATGTAGCAGGTTCTGGAATGTATGAGTCATTTCTTGTACATCAAAATTTTAGCTTCTAGTAAATAAGTTAAATATTTTAATAAAGAATTTTCTAGTATTTAAATGAAAACGCTGTGGTAAATTCAGTTTGGGTTTGCTGCAATTGTTTTTATCCTATGAAACATGTTCATTTTGTTTGATTTTGTTTTTCAGTCATTACCGATTTTTTCTTTTTATTTTGTGCAGCTGTATATGTATGGCATTTCTAAACATTGCGTAAAAATCAACAGCAAAAATGCAGAGTCTTTTCGGTTCCACACTCAGGATTATTTTGGTAAGGAAAGTTTATGGACTGGAAAGGGAGTACAGCTGGCTGATGGTGGATGGCTCATACCCTCCAACGATGGGAAGGCTGGAAAGGAAGAATTTTATAGGTATCTATGCAGAAAGAGATTGTGGACTGACTTTTATCTTTTATGTACTCCATCATCCCTCTCTTCTTTGCAAGTCCCTCTTCTTTTCTCTTAAACTGGTAACACCTTAAGTGCATTGTGGTTCAATAGGCATTCTGTTAAGATCATTTGAAAAGTGAATATGGTTTGTCCTGACATTTAATGAACTGGATTTTCTTATATTGGGACATTTTTCTTTGCATTTACAAAATAAAGGCCAGCAAGAAAAGTTAAATTTTAAATGGCCTTATGGTGGATTGCCCCCACCTAACAAACACACATGTGCGCGCGCACACACACACACACACACACACACACACGTCATATTCTCTTTCATTTTGTGTGTGTATGTATTTATTTATTTATTTTTTTTAGTTGGAGTCTCTATTGCCCTGGCTGGAGTGCAGTGGCACACTCATGACCACCCCAGCGTCAACCTGCTGTGCTCCAGTGATCCTTCTGCCTCAGCCTTCCAAGTAGCCAGAACTATAGGTGCGCGCGCTACCATGCCTGGCTAATTTTTGATTTATTGTAGAAGCGAGGTCTTGCCAAGTTGCCTGGGCTGGTCTTGAACCTGCGGGCTCAGGAAATCTGCTCACCTCAACCTCCCAAAGTGCTGGGATTACTGGCTGAGCCACCGAGCCTGGCCTCGTTGTATATTTTAATAAACATAAAATATAAACACGAAAAGCTAAACAAAAATATTTATATATCAGTAATATGAAATAACTAGAAAATCCCAGTGCTTTAAAACAGCAATTTAGGAAATAACCTCTTTTGAGGTTATATAAATAAGGTGTTGTATACAAACATAATTTAAAACTTTTGCTTCATGCTAGTGGCATAAGTTGCAAATCCTTTCTCCAGCGCTCTTATTTATATAAATTTTTGTACATTTTTTTCAAAAGTGATAGCTTGGGAGAAGTGGTAAAACATTTTTTCCTGAAATTAAAAAAAATTTTTTGGGTATATTTGAAGAGAAATGGTATTTATATTTTGCATGTCTTACATACAAATATCTGCTATAGATTTTAGTAGGGAAAGTATAGTAAAACAGTTGTAGTATTTTCTTATACTAAATAGACTCAATAATGCAGAGGTTAAGAATGATTACTTTGTATTAAGTGGGGAGGCTTCATAAAGTCAGGATGTTAAAGCTCTTTTTTTTTGAGTTGGAGTCTCACTCCGTCGCCCAAGCTGGGGTGCGGTGGCACACTCACAGCCACCCCAGCATCGACCTGTCAGGCTATGGTGATCCCTCCGCCTCAGCCTTCCAAGTAGCCGGAACTACAAATGCATGCTACCACACCCAGCTGATTTTTTTTATTTATTGTAGAGACGAGGTCTCGACAAGTTGCCCAGGCTATTCTCAAACTGGGGGTTCAGGCAGTCCGCTCGCCTCAGCCTCCCAAAGTGCTGGGATTACAGGCTGAGCCACTGAGCCTCACCTGAACCTCTTATTAGTTGTTGTTTTGAACATTTAATAAATATTTGTTGGGCACCTACTTACTATTTGCCAGGTACTATTTTGAGTAGTAGGAATAAGAAAGCAAAACAAAAAGAGTCCCCTGATGAAGTCATACATTCTAGTGGGGGTGGAAGGCACAGAAGATTTTTTAAATACTAAGTAAATTGTATGATATGTTATAAGGTGATAAGTACTGTGAAGATAGATAAAGCTAGAAAGGTGGTAGAGAAGTTGAGTAAGGAGAGGTGCCATTTTTCATGGAATAAGTAGTCAGAAGGGCTCCACTGAGTGACATTTGATAGACATCCTGAAGGAGGTAAAGGGAGGGAACATAGGACTATCCAGGGAAACCTTCCCAGGCTGTAAGAGGAGCATATACTTGAAGTATTTGAGAAACAGGAAGGAAGTTAGTATAGCTGGAGTAACATGGACAGGAGAAGAACTGTAGTAAATGAGATAGGAAGGGAGGACTTCATAGACCTTCATAAGAACCTCAGCTTTTGCTCTTCAATAGCAATTTTTACTCTGAGTAAACCATTAGAAGGTTTAAAGAGTGATATTATCTGACTTATATTTGAGAAAATAACTTGGGCTACTTGATAAGATTGGTGTGGAGGTGGGGCGGCAGCAAGGATAGACGCAGAGGAGATCTCTTAAACTGTGTGGTAATCCAGGTGAGAGATGGTTGCTTGATCGGGGAAGTGGCCATGGAGTTGGTGCAAAGCAGTTGGATTCTGGTATATTTTGAAGGTGGCACCATGAGGATTTACTCAAAGGTTGAATGTAGAGTGTGAGAAAGGAGGAGAATAAGAATGACTCCAAAGATTTTGGCCTTTACAACTAGAAGGATAGAGTTGCCACATAACTCTACTAAAGATTGAAGGAAAGTTTAGAGTTGGACTTTGGACATCTGAAGCTTGGGGTGTGATAGTAGACAGCCAAGTGAAGATGCTAGGCAGTTGGATATGCAAGTCTACACATAGGTGAACTGTAGGCCAAAGAAATGAATTTGAGAGTCATCAGGAATTTAAAGCCGTGTAAAAGAGACCTAGAGCAACCAGAAAGTTGGGGATAAATGCAGAAGAGTATGGGGTATTGCATACCAAGTGAAAATCGAGTTTTAGGGATTAGAGAATAATCAGCTGTGTCAATTGCTACAAACAGGTAAAGTAAGATGAAGGCCGAGATTGACCGCTGGATTTAGCATCGTAAAGCACAATACTAACCTTAATAAAAATAACTCAGTAGGTTGGTAGAGTGAAAGCCTAATTAGAATGTGGTTAAAGGACAGTTGAAGAAGAGCAGTTGGAGACACAGAATGCAGTCATCAGTTCTCCCAGGAATTGTTGAAAAGAAGCAGAGAAAGGGATAGCACTTGGAGGACAAAGTGGGATCAAAGGGTCTTACTTCTGGCTTGTTTGTTTTAATGTAGTAAAAACCTTTATGCTGGTGGAGATCCTCTAGTACAGAGGGGATAAAACTGATGATGGAGAGAAATGCATTTTCTGAATCAGTGACCTTGATGAGGCAATGAGGGGTGAAGCTAGTACACAAATGGTGGGAGAAGGTTAAGTTTAAGGATACAGGTGCTATGGGTGGGGAGATGTGAGTGTGAAAGTCTACAGAGGTTCTCTTTTGATTCCTTTTGTTGTCATAGTACTGAGAATGAGAAAGGAAGAGGAGTGGGGGATTTGAGAAGAGAGAACAGTATCAGGAAGCACATCAGGATTAGGGACTGGGGAAGAGAATTCTCAGGTGTGATATCTAAAAACAATCTCTGTAATAAGAAAAATAATCTAAAATATAATTATTTTAAATTAAGGATCTCATTTTCCAGGAAAAACGTATGAGATGAAATGGTTGTGTTGATTGTTAAGTGGTGTTTTTATCAGTGTGATGCTTTGATACATATTAAATAATTTTCTAAAATTATAATACTCAAATCATATGCTAACACAAAAATTTATTGAATGATCTTGCACAATGTGGTTTTTATACAGAAAATAGTTGGAGTTGTTGAATTCAGTCTCATCCTATGTGCTTTTTACATTCTACCTTTATTTGTCTAGGGCTCTGTGTGACACCCCCGGTGTGGATCCAAAGCTTATTTCTAGAGTGTGGGTCTATAATCACTACAGGTGGATTATATGGAAACTGGCAGCTATGGAGTTTGCCTTTCCTAAGGAATTTGCTAATAGATGCCTAAACCCAGAAAGGGTGCTTCTTCAACTAAAATACAGGCAAGTTTAAAGCATTACATTATGTAATCGTATTCTTCAGTATGGTTCAGGTTTCTGTGCAGTTTGTGACTTCCATGTCAAAGATGGTGTTTAAACCAGCTGTCACTGACACTTGTTGTCCCATACCACTGTGTGGATTGTACAGAGCTGTTCTTTTGTCATTCTCATCCCCCACTCAAGAGACATCACACATTCATATGCCTCTTGCTTCCCTCTTTCTCCAACCCTTCCTTAACTTCTTGGCATGTGAGAAGAATAGGAGTTGCTTAGTTGATCTACTCTTCAGGGCTTGCTAGCAAAGCATTTTGCATTTTTTGCTTTTTAGTATTCATAATTTTAACTGTATAAAACAATATGTTGCTAGGTATGAAATTTTAAATTTATTCTGTCTCAGTATTTCTTTGATAAATTTACAGTGGAATTCTAAAGTCACAATTTCTAAAATGTGCATTTTTCTTTTCATTTTTAGATATGATATGGAAATTGATAGAAGCAGAAGATCAGCTATTAAAAAGATAATGGAAAGGGACGACACAGCTGCAAAAACACTTGTTCTCTGTGTATCTGATGTAATTTTATCAAGCATAAATGTATCTGAAACTTCTGACAGTAAAACTAGTAGTATGGACACCAAAAAAGTGACTATTATCGAACTTACAGACGGGTGGTATGCTGTGAAGGCCCAGGTAGATGCTCCCCTCTTAGCTCTCTTAAAGAACGGCAGACTGACTGTGGGTCAGAAGATCATTATTCACGGTGCAGAACTGGTGGGCTCGCCTGATGCCTGTACACCTCTTGAAGCCCCAGAATCTCTTATGTTAAAGGTAAACTAAAGCACAGTTGGTAAAATCAGTCATTGGTTCCATTAATTTGTAGAGAGGTCTTACGTTTAAAGTTTTAAAGTATGTTTTTAAGGATGCGTGATATCTTAAAGATGTACTGGTATTTTAATATAAGAAGCAGATTGTTCAGACACTTAAATTTTTTGTGTTGTTTTTGGGAGAGTCAGAGGTATTTCCTAAGCTCAAATAATGTAGTTCCAATGAAAGAGCAAAAGTAAATTTGCACCAGATATTCAATTTTGGTACTTGTAGCCTTTGCTACTATCTTATATTCCTAATTTTGCTCCCATCCTGATTACGTGGTCAGATCTCTATTTCAATGTGATTAGAGAATTAGATTTCAGGGTTTCTTGAATATATAATAATGAAACATACCTTTCATCTCTATGTAGATTTTAAATTATATAACAGGACTTCTTTTGTTGTTGTTGTTGTTTTGAGTTGGAGTCTCACTCCGTTGCCCAGGCTGGAGTACAGTGGCATGCATGCTCATGGCCACCCCCGTGTCGACCTGCTGGGCTCAGACTATCCCTCTGCCTCAGCCTTCCAAGTAGCCAGAACTACTTGCACACACTACCCTGCCCGGCTAATTTTTTTATTTTTATTATAGAGAAGAGGTCTTGCCAAGTTTCTCAGGCTGTTCTTGAACCCATGGGCTCAGGCAATCACCTCACCTCAGCCTCCCAAAGTACTGGAATTACAGGCTTGAGCCACTGCACCTGGCTAGGACTTCATTTTTACTTTTGTTTTATTCTGGATCATGCTAATTAAGGAGAGCCTTTTATAAATTAGACATTTTTCCAGTATCTGAAAGCATTCCATCAAATAGGAATGGGCTTTTGTTTTAATGTTGCTTAGAATATCAAATTTGCAATGGCTTTCATTTTCTTGTTTGTTCGTTTTGTGTTTATCATTTTGTGTATAATTTGGAGACTCGAGTAATAAAAGGTTTATGACCTTAAAAAAAGCAGTTGCTAGCACAACCCTAACCATCCCCTTTGGAGATAACCATTTCCACTCCTTTTGACTGTTTCTTTGGCTTGCACTGCTGTGTATTCTTTTTGCCTTCTTTTTAGACATTAACTGTTAACTTCCTGCTATGGAAGATGAGAATTTGGCTCTTTTTTTCCCCCTGAGTTGGAGTCTCACTCTTGTTGCCCAGGCTGAAGTGCAGTGGCACGCTTATAGCCACTGCAGCCTTGACCTGCTGGGCTTAGGAGATCCTGCCACCTCAGCCTTCCAAGTAGCTGGAACTACGGACGCACGTCACCACGTCTGGCTAGTTTTTGTGATTGATTGTAGAGACAAGGTCTCACCAAGTTGCTCAGGCTGGTCTCGAACCCCCAGGCTCAAGCAATCCTCTCTCCTTGGCCTCCCAAAATGCTGGGATTACAGACTGAGCTACCATGCCTGGCTGAGGATTTACCTCTTATACCAACACTACCACATGTTCATATTCCCCTACCTTCCCTAAATTAATATAGCATAATTTTTAGTGAAGGCTGTATTCAGTATGTTCGTTATAATGACTGAAAAGTACCTTTTGCAACATAGCACCTGAAATACTGCAATCACATTTCTTTACAACTTACTACTTTCTGCAGGGTTGTTAACTGCTGTTTTTGTTTTTCTTAATTTTCTATATCTTTATCACTGACTGATTCCCATACAGGAGCTATAAAAATCCTCCCCAATATGTTGACATACCTCCATTGGTTTCATGTCTTTTTCCTGCAAACCTCTTGGAGCTTGTCATACTTCTGCTCCATTCTGAAGTGGTTATTTTCTGTGTAAGGTACACAGCTGTCATTCCGGAAATACTTCTCACCTCTTTTCTGTATTAGAAGCCCTGTTTCCTGGATTCCATATTGTGTTTCTAGACTTATTTATTCCCTAGTACTAAAGGCACACAACTCTCAGAGGCTTCTTGGGAGATGCAGCTTTTTGATATTTGATTGTAAATTTGCCTAAAAATAGAGTTCCAGGTTGAAATAATTTCTTCAGAATTTTTAAAGAAATTTATTTTCCCTTTTTTCATCTAGTATAGCTCCTGCTAAGTTCAGTGCTATTTTTATTCTCAGTTCTGTGTTATGTGGTTTGTTTTTAAGATTGTCTTGTCTCCATTATTTTTAAATTTCACAGAAGGGTACTTTGGTGAAATACTTTTATTTCTGTGAAATAAATTTCACAGAAGGGTGCTTTGGTACTGGTCTTTTTTTTTTTTTTTTAAACCATTGACCTAGATACTCACCCTCAGCCTAAAAACACATGTCCTTTGTTGATGTCTGGGAGATTTGTTTTAAGTGGTTCTTTGATAATTTCCTTTTTACCATTATTTTCTCTACATTTTTTTGGAACCACTGATATTTGTACACTCAGCCTCCTAGATTAGACCTCTAATTTTTTTTGTCTTTTCTCCTGCTTTCTATTTTGTGGTCTTTTTTTTATTATAACTTCTAGGGTGGTTCTCAATTCTTTCTTCTAATCCTTAAAGTACATTTGTATCAAGTATCATAGTTTTCAAGAGTCCTTTATTATTCTCTAAAATGTTCTTCTTTTTCTTTTTTTGTTACATTCAGTTCTTGTTTCATGAATACAATGTCTCTTCATCTTTCTGATGTTATTGATTAATGTTTTGTTTTATTTTATTTTTTCCTACTCCCTGCATTTTTTTCTACGAGAACCTCTTTTTCTGTTTGGGTCTCTCAGGTTGGAGATTTTCCTCAATGGTGAATATTAGCTGATCTTTCCTTATCACGAGAGGGACACCAGTGAGCTGATGAGAGGCTCTGTGTGTGGTGGGGCTTGTCAACTTATAGAGTAATAAAATAAGGTGGGGATATGCTGGGTTTTTTTGTTTTAATGTAGAATGCTTCATTGATATGCAAGTCATCTTTATATAAGGGCCGTGCTAATCTTCTCTGTGTATCTTTGCAGTTTTCCTATATGTGTTCCAGTTTTAGTATATCCTGCTGAAGTGAGCATAGGAATTTGGTTTTCTAATTAGGAGACCCTCAAATATCAGTGGCTATTCTGAGAGGTGAGCAGAGTAAAGAAACTAATAGGCCAGGCTCAGTGGTCTCAGCCTGTAATCCCAGCACTTTGGGAGGCCAGGGTGAGTGGATTGCCTGAGCCTGCAGGTTCGAGACCAGCCCGGGCAACTTGGCGAGACCT